TCATTTCTTGAAGCTGATTCCAGCAGCGGGGGGCATAGTGGCTGAAAGCTGATTCACCCTGCTTTGACTGAACTCTTGGAATTTCTAGTTTATATGATCCTAATGATCTGAGTGATCTGTTAGGTTTGTATTCAGTGAGCATATCTGTAATGTATTGAGGTCCTAGGCCATTTAGTGATTTATGGTAGTACTGGTGATTTACCAGTAATAATACTTTAAACTCTATTCTGAATGTAACTGGGAGCCAGTGTAGAGACCTGAGGACAGGTGTGATATGCTCTGATTTTCTGGTGGTCAGAATTCTGGCTGTAGCGTTCTGGATGAGCTGCAACTGTCTGTCTTTTTAGGAAGGCCAGTGAGGAGGCCGTTACAGTAATCCACCCTGCTGCTGATAAAAGCATGAACAAGTTTCTCTAAATCTTTACTGGAAACAAAGCATCTGATTCTTGCTATGTTTTTGAGATGATAGTATGCTGATTTACTGACAGCTTTGACATGACTATTGAAACTCAGATCTGACTCCAAAGTCACACCAAGATTCTTGACCTTATTTTTTGTTGTTTGACCTTTAGTAACAAGGTACGCGTTTACCTTGAGAACCTTATCTCTGTTCCCAAACGCAATCATTTCAGTTTTCTCTTTGTTTAACTGAAGAAAGTTTTGGCACATCCAATTGTTAATTTCATCAATGCATTGGCAGAGGGTGTCAATGGGGCTGTAGTCATTAGGCAGTAAGGCCAGGTAGATCTGAGTGTCATCAGCATAGCTGTGGTAGGAAATTTGGTTCTTTCTCATTATTTGGTTCAGAGGGAGCATGTAAAGGTTGAACAGGAGAGGTGCCAGAATCGAACCTTGTGGGACTCCACACGTCATGGGTGTCCACCTCGACCTATGGTCACCTATACTTACATGGTAACCTCTACCTTCAAGGTAAGATCTAAACCATTTGAAGACCGTGCCAGACAGCCCAACCCAGTTTTCCAGCCTATCCAGAAGTATGCTGTGATCGACAGTGTCAAATGCAGCACTGAGATCGAGCATTACCAGCACTGTTAGCTTGCCTGAATCTGTATTTAGGCGTATATCATTGATTATCTTTATAAAAGCGCTCTCTGTACTGTGATGTGGTCTGAAACCAGATTGAAAGAATTTGTTAAGAACTTGTTAACCTGGTTGAAAACAACTTTTTCGATGATTTTGCCAATGAAAGGGAGATTTGAGATTGGTCTGTAATTGCTCAATAGGGTGTTATCCAGGTTGCTCTTCTTCAAGAGGGGTTAAACAACTGCAGTTTTAAGTGAGTTTGTAAAAATCCCTGAAAGAAGTGAAGCATTTGCCACTTTTAGAAGATCCATTTCTAAACAGGTAAACACTGCTTTAAAGAATGATATGGGGAGCGTGTCAAGACTGCAGGTTGATGTTTTCATAGCTTGCACAGTCTCTTCTAAGATTTTACCATTAATTGCCATGAAATCAGACATAATGTCTGATTTCTTAAGTTGTGGTTAAATAAATCATCTACAGCTAATTGTCTATTTGATAAATAAATACAGCTGGTTACTAACTTCAAATGTACTGTATCTTGGCAAATGTTTAATGTATTCAGATATATAAACATATGTTTACAATATAACTTACCATGATGGGATTCTGATGGAATATTCAAACCAGAGTTTCTTGACAAAGGTTTACCACCAGACCGCTGGAGTTCTTGATAAGAGCAGCTATTTTACAGAGAAATGTAACCGTAAACGAATGGGAAAATGCCTCCACCACAACTCTCAGTGTTTATCAGGTTTGATGTCAGGTGACAGTTTTGGAGTCTGGAGTTTGGTATATGTTGCAGGAAGGATGTCATGCCCCACAACTATTTGTTCTATAAGTTTGCAGAAAATTTTTGTGGCCTGTTTTCTCACAGAAAGTCTCACAAGATGTTTTGTATGTTATAGCTTTAATAAGAGCAAGGAGATGTATTGTGATTTTACAGTAGCTGCTTTTTTTTTCAATTGCTAAAAAGTTGTGTGCACCAACATTGTGAAACAGCAAGCTATATTTGTCAACGTATGGTTGATTCCGCTGTGGCGACCTCTGAAATAGAGACTAAGTGCTTTATTTTAATGATCTAGGCGCATAGTCTAAAGCACATGGCACAAAAGTTTTAAGCGCGTCTCAGAATCTACATTTGCAATTGTAAGGAGGGGAAAATACGCTCTGCTTATTCTCTTAATGAGTTATGGGTGTGTTTTAAGCATAACATGCATTAAAACAATCAAAGTCTCATCTCCCATTGCCTTTAAGAGTCAGTTGTGTCGTGCCATGGCACATTTGCTATTTACATGGTGGACTTTGTAAAACTGACTAGCGGGACAACAGTTAAACTGATCATCTGCATCGCGATGATAAAGAATGATTCAGACTCCATTCAGACTCTTTACTTTCTCTTTAATTTCTCTTTACTTTTACTCTTTACTCTTGTACTTTACTGGATAAGGATACATTGTTGTCCACACTCTACTGAAGACATTCATTAGCCTACATATTTAATTTAATTTGTTATATGCAAAGATTTGTTTCAAAACTATTTCTATATATTTAGGTCTAATTTCCAGCAAACAAGTAAATGAACAGTAATAATGAAGTGTGATCAAAAAAATGGAATAAAATCCAAACATGCGTCCCATTCTTATGCCCCATATGGTGATGTATACATCTCCAAAACCCAAAAGGTGGACAAATCTAAACTTGTCTTTTATTAAAACAAATTAAAATATGAATATAATACATGCAAATGGCCATGAATTAACTGAATTAAGCCATTAAGTCAATTAAGGCATGGAGGTATTGGTTTTTATATTTATGTAGAAAATAATAATTTTTGTAACATTTTAATTAATTATTATTATTATTTTTTTTATATATGTGAAGATATTTGTTTGTTGCTGTTTATCCTGTATGTGTTAAGTAGCGTGTAAGCGTTTTGGACCTGCACAGGTGCATAACTACTGCGCACTGCGTTGGACTTTAGACTAGGTTTTAGTTGGGTCAGTGGTGTGGTCCATTTCAGTTCTTAAAAATAACAGCATGCCAACAATGCGCCTTAACACACCTCCTTTTTGGCCAGAACACGCATGAGTCCACAAAGTGGCGCAAATGGATTTGCTATTTAAAGAATGTGCCGCAAAACGTGAAAATAAGGGTTGCGCTGGTCTGAACATATGGCAACAAATCAAAACACATTTTGCTCCTTATTGTTTTACTTATTTTTTACTTATTCACACTTAGCTCAGTTTATATAGACATACAGTTAAATTCAGAATTATTAGCCCCCCTTTGATTTTTTTATTATTATTTTTTTATTTCCCAAATGATGTTTAACAGAGCAAGGACATTTTCACAGTATGTCTGATAATATTTTTTCTTCTGGAAAAAGACTTATTTGTTTTTTTTTTTCTCGGCTAGAATAAAAGCAGTTTTGAATTTTTTAAAAAACATTTTTTTTTGACAAAATTATTAGCTCCTTTAAGCTATTTTCTTTCGATAGTCTACAGAACAAACTATCATTATAGAATAACTAGCCTAATTACCCTAACCTACCTAGTTAACCTTTTTAACCTAGTTACGACTTTAAATGTCACTTTAAGCTGTATAGAAGTGTCTTGAAAAATATCAAGTAAAATATTTATTAGAAATTGTTTTTTAAAACTATTATGTTTAGAAATGTGCTGAAACAATCTTCCCTCCATTAAACAGAAATTGGGGGAAAAAAATAAACAGAGAGGCTAATACGTCTGACTTTTTTTTACTTTAGTATGATTTTTCAGTACTCTTTCCACCACTGGTCTTTGTGTAGTGGAGTTTGGAATTCTGGAATTTTCATTTTTTCAGTGTACAATAGGCTACAGAAGTGGTTCTCTACCATCCACCACATCCTATCTATAAATTCCGCTCTATGTTTGTATAAAGTGCTCTGTGCTCCAAGTGACAGCATTTTTTTATTTTAGCTTTTGCTTGTACGGTGGTCTGAATTGTCTGAACACCTCTCAAAGTGTTTTCTGCGGATGTGAAAAATGTAAAAACAACTTAAAGCGATATGAATTAATCACTGCCAAAGGTTTCGGAGGCAGTGTGTAAATGTGATTGACACAACATGAGGCTGAATTTATTATTATTGACTTATTTTTTAATGTGCAAAAATATTTTTTGGCTAATAATTTTGGACTTTTAAGTGCAATGAATTTAAGTGTATATTTATATGACAACCCTTTGCTAAAAGCATAAACCTTTTACATGTAATCATTGTAATACATTAGAACAAAATCACACATACAGCATTGTCAGGGTCACAAACTTAATCCCGTTCAAATGGATTATTTTACTTTATTTTTTATTTATTTTTATTAATTTTTTTATATTTAATTTAACTTAATTTTTCATTTTATTTGCCTTTTGACCGAACATGTACTACTCATGCGAATGACAAAATTGCTTTAGAAAGTTGTGTTTCTGTAGTTTACACTGAGATAATAACAGATTAATTTTCTAAAACTTGACCTTGTCCCTAGAGAATTAAGGGTTTCAAGAGGGTTGTTTTTACATGTAAAAACATTATTATACTTCCTAAATCTTTACTTTGACAGCTTGGGGCCCCTCAATAGGGAACTGAACATGAGCAGTAGGCATGACATGCACGGTTAGCTCTGGCCACCAAGGCACAGGGATTCCCGTAACTGTGTGTGTGTGTGATGAAGGAGGGGGGGTTAAAGGGGTGACATCTGGTCGACCCGAGTCCCTGCACAGGAAAACCAATGTGTCTGGAGAGTGGAAGCTGTGGGGTAAGGGGAAGGAGCATCGGCTGCTTTCTGGTCAATTGTTTCTTGAGTGATGGTGAAGATGCCACGATAGAATCAAAGTTCAACACTTAAATGACCTGACCTCCAGAATCGTGATTTCTGTTTAAAGCATGTCACTTAACTCATTGTCTTTTTTCTGTTTCCCTTTAGGTACTTTGTCATGGGGAACCTCCTTAAAGTGTTAACATGCACAGACCTTGAACAAGAACCCAACTTCTTCCTCGATTTTGAAAGTGAGATACTTTCGTTTATTCATTCATTCATTCATTTTCTTTTCTGCTTAGTCCCTCCATTTATCTGTGGTGGCCACAGCGGAATGAACCGCCAATTTATCCAGCATATGTTTTACGCAGTGGATGCCCTTTAAGCTGCAACCCATCACTGGGAAACATCCATACATTCTCATTTACACACATACACTACAGCCAATTTAGCTTAACCAATTCACCTATACCACATTCTTTTGGACCTGTCGGGTAACCAGAGCACCCGGAGGAAACCCACATGAACATGGGGGAGAACATGCAAACTCCTCAAAGAAATGCCAACTGACCCAGCTGGAGCTCAAACCAGTGACCTTCTTTCTGTGAGGCGATTGTGCTACCCACTGCGCCACTGTGCTGCCCTACTTTAGTTTCGTTTTCATTTAGTAGATGCAGTTATGCAAAGCAACACACACACACATACATGAATATGCACACAGAGCAGTGGGAAACCATTGGCGTTGTTCATTTAGCTCAAGCCATGGTATTGTTAGGGGAAGAGAGTACTGGATATGTACATATATTTATCTACAATCCCTGCTAATGCCTGGATTTAAACCTGCAACCTTTGAATGACAAGTGTAACTTTAACTATTAGGCCATGCCTGGCCCACTTAATTTATTGCCTGTAAACAGTCTTGCCTTTTCATGACCTTGTTCGGGAACTATGCCAGCAAGCTAGATTCTGGGAGCTCTAGTGTAGGTCAATATCAGGTCACTAAATAAAAAACAAAGTTCCCCAGTTCCCCATTGGTCTATACAGAATCTCAAGTTTAGGACTTGATACTATCTTAAACTCCTTTGCCCTTGAGAATAGTTCACGAACCACACACAATCTGCTGCCATCTTATTTGTCTGATCCTAAAAACCGCCTTCAAAGCAAAGGAAGGTGAATGAACCAAAGAAAAGGAGACAGTGGAAAACTAGAGTTTCCTGTCTTTTATTACTCTTGCCCACAGAACATTTCCACCCAACCATGTTTGCGTCCATTTTTAGTCACATAGAGTAGCTGTTCTTTTGAGGAAAGAGAGGGGGCGATAGAGAGTTACCTCAAAACAATCAGCTCATTCATGGGTCATCAGGCAGATGCCTATAAAAACAGTTCCTATAGTGTCTGCTCAAGGGTTATGTAACAATAATAGGGTTATAAGACACAGATCATTGGAATAGAACCTACTTTTTTTCAAGATGAAAACATACTGGCTGAAAGGTCATTCTTCTTTTGTTATGTGGGATTTGAACATCTGATAAGAAAGGAGGAGGCCCTTCATTTTTAAAACTGCACTTAAAGCCAGCTGTAGTCAACCGCTGCCAATGTCTCTCTCAGGGTTCTCTTTAGATGTGGCATAGAAGTTTCCACCATTTTAAATTCCACACTTTGCCTTTTAAGCATATGAAACGGGTTTAGTTGAGAAGTTTTAACTTAGGGAGGCTCTGTTAAAGGAATAATTTAATCCAGAGTTCAATTTTTCTTGAAGGGATAGTTTACCAAAAAATGAAATTGACTCACTATTTACTGATCTTCAAGCGTTTCTAAACATTTATGACTTTATTTCTATCTGTTGAACACTAAAGAAGATATTTTAAAGAAAGCTAGAACCATGTAACCATTGACTTTCATAGTATTTGTTTTTCCTACTGTACATTCCAAGTCAATGGTTTCTCAAAACATTGAAATTTGGAATTTGACAAGTGCACTGCAGCAAAGCAACTCATCAGAGTCTTTAAAAATGAAATTGCTTAAATGCTGAAAGAATTGGTTTCCCCCAACAATGAAATTCCTATTAATAATTTCTGATCATCATGTCATTTCAGTTTTCTTAAGTGCTTCATTCATCTTCAGAACACAAATTAAAATATTTTAGTTTAGATAGGAGAGCTCCCTCATCCTCTATATAACCAACAACAATCCTAAAACGTTCAAAGTCCTAAAAGTAACCAAAAACGTTGTTAAAACTGTCCATATAATGTCAGAGGTTTAACTAATCATATAAAGATCCAGGAACCCTTTTGTGAGCCAAATAAAATACATAATAATAATAATAGCTTTGTTCGTCAGGAAATGTGTTTATTATGGGCAATACAACATGTGCATGTTGTACTTCTGACCCCATGATTTGTTGTGGAAGGCAAATATATATATATATATATATATATATATATATATATATATATATATATATATATATATATATATATATATATATATATATATATATATATATATATATATACAATTATTATTATTTTATTTATTTTTTGCCACACAAAAAGGTTCTTGGTGCTTTGTATGATTACAGTTGAACCACTTAAATCACATGGAAAGTTTTTGTTTCCTTTTCTGGACTTTGAATGTCTCAGGACGCTTGCAGTACGAAGATGAAAGAAGGTATGTGAACAACATGATTAATAACAGAATTAATAACCAAATTAGATATTTTCATTTAACTAACCCTTTAAGACATTATTGTTATTGTTATTATTATTATTATTATTATTATTATTATTAGTAGTAGTAGTAGTAGTAGTAGTAGTAGTATTGTTAGTATTAAAATAGCAATAATTATTATTATTATCAGTGTTGAAAACAGTTTTTATTGTTATTAAAAGAAATTTCAAAAGAACATAATTCATTTGAAACAGAAATACTTAAAAACGTTTTAAAAATAATTTAATATTTTAAAAACATTGGGCTCTATTTTAACAATCTAGACTCAAAGTCTGAAGCACATGGCGCAAAAGCATTAAGTGTTTGGCCGAATCCCCTTTTGCTATTTTAATGGTGGAAAAATAGACTCTGTCCCCTGGTGCATGGTCTAACAGGGTTGTACTTATTTTTTTATAATGAGTTGTAAGAATGTTTTTAGCATAACGTGCATTAAACCAATCAGAGTCTCATCTCACTTTCCCTTTAAAAGTCCTTTTCGTCTTGCCATGGCACATTTGCTATTTACATGGCAGACTTTGTAAATGTAAAAACTGAACGCCGACAGCAGGAGGAGAAAGAAGTGAGCGAACAACTGTTGTCAGTTGGCTCACAAAATGAGAAACACCATGAGGGAGACACATGATTTTTTCCTTTACAAAGTTAAAATGCAAAGAAATAAACAGTACTTATATGCCCAGCTACATATGTTATTTGTAATTTTAAATACATACAACAATTTGTTATATCATTATTAAGATAATCATGTAAACACTATAAATGAGGGGGATTTCTCTCCTTCTGAATCCCCAGGTCTGAATGCAGACGCAGTGTGGCAGTGCAGCAGGTCTCTTTCACTATCTATTCCAATCAGTAGCCTTCCTTTTAAAAGCCTTTAGGATTTTAAAAATAGGCGAACAGCAGCAAGGATTTAGGTGATGTGTCTGACTGGTAACAAACTCAACTGATAAAACAAAAAGTCTGCCATTCTGGTACAGCCCTCCCGACAAAAGTGCTTGCTGTAAACCAATAGCTTTGCTATAAAAGCACTAACAGCATTGCAGGGAAAAACATGCAATAAACCCTGTGAATCATGGAAACAAACACATGATGTTACAACCCCTTCATTAACGGCTTTATACTGCTTTCCATACACGGATGTGGTCTTACTCAGTCATTGGGTCTCACAGCTTGGCAGGTCTGCCTTGCCTTTGGAAAGCTCGTGCTCTCATGAATAATTAGGAAGCAGGGTCTTCTAATAGGATAGGAAAACTCATCTATGAATATTAATGAAAAACCAACACGTCATCACTTCACTAGCAGATTTGCGCTACGTCAATAATTTTGATCCTGCCCCCAAAATCCCCAAAGGATGAAGTTTGCTCTAACGTTGTCTTAAAAGAATGCTTGACTCACACAAATGGTAAAATTTCAAAACAAAAGTACTCAAGGGTGTCCTGAACCATTAATAACGAATGTAACCATATATTCTGTTTGCTTTTTCTATTTGTCTTCATTTTAATTTTGCTTCATTCTCTAAGGTGTGAAGCTCTGATGCCCATTCATGCATTGAAGACATCCAGTGAATTTGCTCTAAATGTGTCAGATACTGATGAAATGTGCCCTTGAAAGACCTATTGAATAAAAACCTTGAAATGCACTCTATTCATTGCTAGTTTTTTTTTTCTCTCTCTTCCATAAGATGCCCAGCCAACAGAAGCAGAGCGGGAAACGTGGGAAGAAGTGGATGTCGTCCTAAAAGATGCACTGGGAATACTTGACGAACTGCAAGCATATAAAGGCGCAGGCCAAGAGATACGAGAGGTACATACACACTCAACAGATGACAGACGATTGTGTTTGATTCATATGTATGCACATATCAAGTTGTTCATGAAAAATGAACACAGATTGTGTTGAGGGAACAATATCGGTGGCTTCATATTACATCTTGCGTGTGCGTGATTTGAAATTCTCTGTTTTACTCATTCACGCCTCAGTTTGAGTGAGTGTCAGTGTGAATGATACTCTTGTTGCCACGGATACTGTTGCTATACAGATACAGTTGCCATGGACTGGCATCTTTAGCAGAATGAAAGTGAATGTTTTCTTTTTTCTCGCTCTCTCTTTTAATTTGCTCAAAAGAACGTGGCACATTCCTTTTTTATGTCAGAACAGTCAGTAATTATTTTAATGAGCCGCATGTATTTAAAAATTGAAAAGCACGTTAAGGTAGAGTGCAAAAGCATTGACTAGACATTCTGTCCAGTGTCATAATGGAAAGTAAAATAAATCAAAGAAACCTTGTGTGTTTGGATTTGGCGTAATTTACATCTTCAAAATGCCACCCTCAAAAGCACATCATTTAAAAACATCATCTCACATAAGCAGCTCGAGCACAGCCTCATACTGTCATAAAATAATATGTCCCGTTTAAACTCGTGGAAACGTTTATAACTCTCCAGATGTTGTAATATTGTGATGTGCTGTTTGTTTTTACAGGCAATCCAGAACCCTAATGATGAGGCATTACAAGACCAGGCATGGGCTGCTGTGGTGCCATTAGTAGGCAAACTAAAGAAGTTCTATGAATTCTCACAGAGATTAGGTACAATAAACTTTTTTATTGCTTAAGTATGAATGCAAAACAACCTTTTCCACGTGAAAATTGTTGTTACGGTAACACTTTTGAATAACTATCCATTATAACTAGTTAATAGATCATTAATAACTGTTAGTTAATGGGTTAAAATGAATTGTTAAATAAAAGTTAATCCTTTGTTAATTATGTATAACTGTGCCTATAGATGGCCAATAGATAACTTACAAGCTGTTAGTTAACGAGTTATAAATGACTTGTTAACTGTATTTTAATGATGTATAACTACCTAATTATATATAGTATATAACTACGTTAATAAAAGAATAGTTGCAACTTTAGAATAACGTCCCAATAATATATACAAGCTATTAACTGATACTTCATGATCTATTACTAATTTATTAGGTAGTTATACATTATTAAAATACAGTTAACAAGTCATTTATAACTTGATTTACTTGATTTATAACAGCTTGTTAGTTATCTATTGGCTATATATAAGTTACAGTTATAATAATTTAAAAACTATTAACTTTTATTTAACAGGTCATTTATAACCCATTAACTAACAGTTATTAATGATCTATTAACTAGTTATAAAGGATAGTTTTTCTAAAGTATTACCAAGTAGAGTTGGGTATCGTTTGGGGTTATTTCGATACCGGTGCTAAATCGATACCTTTAAAACGGTACCGGTGCCAAAACGATGGCTGAACCAATACTTTTTTAGGTATCACTTTATATTAAGTGTCCTTAACTACTGTGTACTTACATCAAAAAATAAATACAATGTACTTACTGTGTTTATAATGTATTTGAGAACACTTGTGGTGCTTGTAAGTTGGGGTAGAAGTTGGGTTATGGACAGGTTTGGTGGCATGGGTAGGGTAAGGGTGGGTTAAGGTGTAAGCGATGGTCAACAGTGTATTTACAAATGTAATTACAAACGTTAATGACAGATGTAGTTACATACATGTATGTAATCAAGCATAAGTACACAGTAAATACATGTATTTACACAATAAGTACATTGTAACAAACTGTTAGTTCCTGTGAAAGTACATATTAGTTAAGGCCAATTAATATAAAGTGGGACCCTTTTTATTTTAATTTTAATAATTATAATTTAACAATTTTTACAATTTTTAACAAATTTTAACAATTTATATATATATATATATATATAGTTTAAAGTTAACATCAGTTCATATATATATATATATTTTTTTATTAATTTGAATTGCACCAATATATTTATTTTGATCATTTGTTTATTAGCATGACTGCAAGATTTGCATTATGTTATTAAAGGGTCACGAAACACCAAAACACATATTTTGAGCTGTTGACAGTCGTATATGTGTCCCACACTGCTAAAAACACTATTAGGACACCTATATTTCACTTAAAAGTGTAAATTGGTTGTTTTTGCGTTATTTCAAGCAAATTCGTACTTCCTGTTTGAAACGAATTTTTGAAGCTGCGTCACGGTCATGACATAATAGCGTGTATTCCAGCGTGCAGACTGGACGTCTGTGCCAGAGTATGTCTTATTACGTCTTGTAACAACTACTTTTTTTTGAAGCTACATTAAAGAAATTGAGAGAATTGAGAAGCCTTTCCATGTGCTAGGCACCATACTTCCTGCCTACTGCTTCTTCTCTACCTCCTTTTAAGCAGATTGGAGACTTACTACCTAGATCGCCCTCTAATGGGTGAGATAGCTACTACAGGTAGAATTTTCAAATAGTAACAGGAAAACTGTTACAGTCTTACAGTGTGATACATTAATGCATGAGTAAGGCTTGGTTCAAACCAATCAGCGCGCTCTACTGTGCAACTTCATTAATATTCATTTGTGTCACCGTGCTTACACCGGCTTACACCACAAAGACGCCACGTTGTGTTGGCAAAACAAGCGTGAAGTGTTGCTTTTATAGTTTGCTGCCGTTAAGTTTCGTTTTCATTTTCTCTCTGTGAGAGCTTATCTGGATCACGTGTGGATTACAGTGTACGCGACGCTCGACAACAGTAACTTACGTGTCTAAGGGGGATTATTGTTTACCTGAGAACTGTTCTCATCTGCAAACGCTGAAATCTGGATTCGCTTGTAGTATTCTCTCCATATAGACGCGGCTCTAGTTGCTGGTGATTGTCCTGTCTCTACAGATTTGGCAAGTGAGCGACCAGTGCTCTTTGTTTATTCAGTTTGTTCGTATCGAATTAAGTTAACTATTGCACTGAGTGCAGAAATGTTAGCACCGCATTTTGTGACCGGAATAACACACGCAGCTTTCTGACGCTACCTGCCGTGTGCATCTAAGTTTCCGGGAAATGCGGAGGTTTTTTTTTCTCTCATTCGCCGTGCGGTATCATTAGATCAGTTCCTCGAATCAAATATCTCGTTTGTCGCGAGGGGCATGAATGAATTCCCTGAATGAAACAGCCAAACTGCAGTTAAAGTCCAACATTTAATAATTTGGCAAATAATTCGACTACAGATGTCCATGTAGGTTAAACACCATCACTTTCTCCTGTCTGTGTGTGTGTGTTTTGACTCTGAAACTCGCGCGTGCACAAATAGACACTCCCACACCATCCCACTTTAGTTCCTCCGACACTCCCTCCTAAACAGAGCTGGACACGCCCACTTTTCTGACTTTTTCCAAAGTAGAGGTGTGAAAACACCCTGCTGAAACGAGGGGGTTTCATGGCCCTTTAACATTACATTAGCTTACTACTAACCTGTGGAAAGGCTGTCATCAAAATCAGGGAACTCCTGTTTTCTGGGTTTGGGGCTTGTGACTACTTTTACATGGACATCAGTGATCTAATGATTTACCTTAATCTGAGTGAGACAATAATATGATTCAGGTGTGTACATGAGTTGCTTTTTGTATGTTACATTCATGATTCCCAGTTACATGTTATAGCACATAGATCCATTAACGTCATTGCGTCACCAGCCTATAAATGTTTCCTCTGCAGTATGTGTCTGTTGTCCTTTAAGATAATTAAAAATCACTGTTTACATTGTAGACTCTTGATTAGAGCAGGCCTGCATTTAGAATTCAGAGGCCCCTCTGCACAATGTGTTGTAGGCCCCCTACCTGGTCGCACCCCTATTGTTAAATTTAAATATAAGAATAACAAAATATTTTTAAAACAAAATTATTCTACAATGGATTGCCCACATTTTTAAAGTAAATGACATACAGTACATATATTTCTTGTCTACAGAAATGTAACAATTTTTGAAAGCATTTAAAGCATACTTTGAAAAAAAAAATACTACTACAACTAGTGAAAATTAATGGATGCTAATATACGTGTTCAAGTTCACTGATTTTTCATTTTCATTTTTGATGTATAACTTCTACAAACTTATAATGCATATGATTTGGAAATAACACCTTTCCAATACAGTTCTATGAATCCAGTCTTCTATAATACACACTTAGGGCATACTCACACTATGTACAGTTGCAGCGAACTGGGCCAAAGCATGCTTGTCCCCCCTCCCGTCTCCTCCGACGGCCCGCACTCACATTACAATCAGGCCTGGGCATGCTTACGTCATTGATTCTGTGTTGTTTAGTAAGCGCTCTCGCTCAGCGCAGTGGGATGCGGTGAAACACAGTCAGATATTTCGCCGAACAGATTAGCCACTTTTGACGCTAATAAACAATCATAAAACCCTCGTGCTGCAGGAATTAGGAGGTTTGCTGAAGGCGCGCAGCACCTCTTCCAACCGGGCCAGGGCAGGCCAAGTGAACCATGCCTGAGCCCGATTCAGCGCACTCACACTTCTCAAACGATCTGGGAAAAGGGCCTGGGCATGGTACGGATGGCATAGTGTGAGTAGGGCCATATTCAGGGCTTGACACTTACTTTATTCAAGAGTAGCACATGCGCTCCTAAGTTAAAAAGTTAGGGGCACATTTAAAGAATTTTAGGAGCGCAGTGAAAATATATCAAATAAGGGTGCTTTAACACCTGCCTTATTTAGTTTGATTGAATCACACTAGAGTTCGTTTCCCCTTTTGGTACAGTTGTTTGGGCAGGTGAGAAAGCAGCAATCGTACTCGAGTACGCACCAAAAGCGGACCAAATAACCGTACCGAGACATGCTTGAAGAGCTGGTCTCGGTACGCTTTCAAACGAACCCTGGAGCGGTTCGTTTGTGGTGAGAAAATGATCCGTACTAAAACTGGTCCAACTTCAAAAAGTACTGCGCGTTTTGGACCAATTCAGCTGCCGTAGGCCGATGCGCTGTGCATTATGGGATATGGAGGAAAAATATTTGTTGACAGCGTTTTACAAACAGAGAGAGAGAGAGGGGAAAACATTACCTGATGGATCGTTGGTAATATATACGCAAGATGACCATGTCGCAGTTTAGCAAAATTAATTCATGCCTCCTCCTGAAGTGACGAGCGGTGCATTAACCACTGTTTTCCAGCCGCGCTAAATTTTCGTAATGTATAGTTTGTATGAAGGGATACAATCAGCCAGCGCAGTCGTCCCTCCAGAGTAAAAGGTTTTGTTTACCTGCAGGAGTTCACTGGCATTTTCCCGCACGTGAATTCTGACCAATCAATAAGCAGTTTAGGAAATATGTTCAACAACATCTGGCCAATGAGAGATGTGGATTTTGTCAGATGACTGCATTTTGGTTCGTTTCAACTGGTTCGGACCAAAGCCAGCTGTGTGGTGTGAAAACAACCCAAAGACGGCAGAAGATGCAACAATGTATCATTTATAACCTTTGGTCCAGACCAAATGAAGCAAACTACAGATGTGAAAGCAGCCTAAATTGTGTTTTTGCCTAATAAATGAACATGAGGAGATCTTTAAAAGCGAATCAGTTTCATTCATTTGAATACAATGAGTACAATAGGTTTTGTTTTACTGTATAACAGCTCAAATAGTTTTAAATAATTGTCTCTTTACACCACCACCACTGTGCAGCATCCACTTGGATGATGCGACGGCAGCCACAGGAC